GTGGTACGATTCAGGAATCCTGATTGTGCTACCATATGATTTAAAAAAAAAAAAAAAAAGAACCAGGTGATATTTAGACACCTGCAGCAAGCCTGAACTGGATTGGGCTTTCTTTTCAGGACACTGAGGCTTTCTCAAGCTGAATATGCTGAAATATTTCCTTGTATTTCAGTAAATGTGTCTTCCTCATCGCATTCCCCCTGCCAAATTCTTTAAATCAACATTTTAAAAATCTCTGAGTGAGCTTCGTAACATAAGACTGCACTTTAAAGTATGCAACTCTGAACAGATCTGTGAAATCCGTACTCCGAGATATATGAAATTTTGGGCAATCTGACAATTTGGTATTAGCTTAGCAGCCTTGGGAGAGACATTGTCCAATAAAAAGATATTGGACAAACTCCAGTTAATTTTTAATCCTGAAAGTTTTCCAAAATCTTGCTTTTAATATTGCTGGCAAGGTATTCCAAGGAGTAGACACATAAATCAATGCATCAGCTCTCCATGTGCTGCTGAAATACCATTTGCTACATTTCACCCTGCCTTAGTGGATATATCAGGGGAGATTCTCAGGAATGCAGCATGTGAGCTGAACCCTGTACCAACAAGCACATGGCGATGGGGACATCCTTCTCTTAGCTTGCTGAGAAAGAAGCAAGGGGGGGGGGGGGACCGCCTCCCCTTCTTTCTACTTGCCAGCTTCCTTAAAGCTGCACTTTTATGAAAATTAACTTCCCCACAGGCAAAAAGGAAAGGAGAAAATCCCCAAGTATTTTGAAATTTTTCTATTCAAATCCTTTTCGCTGTTATTTTCTAGCATTTGTGGTCATTGAAGGGATTCCTTGGAGAGTGTTTCTGTGTGAATCCAAATAAACTTTCTTCTCTTTTGCTATTTCTTTCTACAACCTACATTTTCCCTTTATGATCCCTTATTATTTGGTGTCAATGGCCCATATAGTTGCTCAGCATGGTCCCTTATACAAAAGCTTCCAATTTAGAAGAAAGGAAGTATCATGGCATGCCACAGAGGAAGAAACTCAAGTTTGCACAGCATACTGCTAGACTTTGAGCCCACTCACTGCTGGTGCTGCAGAAGAAATTTCCTGAGGGATAGGAGGTCACCGGCCACCCGCCACCCAGCTAAGGTTACTGTTCATCACCTCATAGTGATGGCTGTCACTCCCTGCCCCAGAGATGCCACCCCTTTGATGGAGCTGTGCATCAGGTATCCGGCAAGGGGAGACAGAATCAGATGCCACGGAGGGCGTCCTAGTGACGGGCAAACGACAGGCAGCCAAGAACAGACAGTGCCAGCGAAAAGCATCTCTCCTTCCAATGACAGCAAATGGTCAGAGCAGCAGAGCTACACAAAGGAGAGACGTGTTTCCGAACAATTTGTGGTTCGCTGCGGGGTCCACCTCACGCATAAATTTAGTCAGTGGCATGGAGCTGCCAGTCAGGATGGAGGTGGGAGGGGAAGATAGTTTGCAAGACTTGGCTCTGACTGAATAGTGGATGGTGGGCTCAGAAACACAGACTCCTCTCTTGGGCTTTGTCTTAGTCACATAGCAGGGCACAGACCTGTTGCCATGGCCAAGCGATGGGGAAGACAAGGATGTCCCTTTGGGCACCTCTCCACCCTTCCTCCTGTCCATCTCTAGGCCAGCTTCACCAGGCCTGTGGAGGCACTGGGCATGTGAGGAGGGAACGGATGCTCCGAGCCCCATGGGGGAAAGATCCCAAGGGAAGAAGAGAGGGAGGTAGAGCCACCCATCTCCCCGCCAGGACCATCTCCAGCCTGGACCTGAGATCTCACCTGATCAGCTCCCGGAGGATGTCTGCCCGGCCCACGCGTGCTGCATGGTAGACAGGGGTGCTGCGGTGGTGCCGGCTGCCATTGGGGTCAGCCCCAGCTTCCAGGAGGATCTTGGCACACTCGAGGTGCCCATTGACCACAGCCACGTAGAGGGCGGTCTGCCCCTTCACGTCCACCAAGTCAATCTCGGCCCCTTTGCGGAGGAGGAAGTCGACGCAGGGGCCGTGGCCGGCGGTGGCAGCGATGCGCAGCGGCGTGCAGGGCAGCCAGCCACAGCACCACACCGACTTCTCGTTGATCCGGCTGCCATCAGAGGGGAGAAGCGTTGGGTCAGAGAAGCCCTCCTGCCACCTTGTGCCACCCCACCTGCCCCAGCCCCAGAGGAGGATGCTGGAAGAGCAGCATCTCTTGAAGTTTTACTGCACTTTATAGCAGCCCTGAAAAGCTTCTGCCAATAACCTGACTAGGCTCTGCATGTACGTAGCCAGAGACTATGGCGTGTACCAGAGTAACGCCTGGAAGATGGACTTTATTGCAGCTCTGCTGTGTCAGGAGCTGCACATATGCACAGTGAGGGACAAACCCTGCCTCAAAACTCAGTCAAAATTACCAATACAAAATAAAATACTCCCTTTTTACAGGGAGATGTCCCAAATCAGAAGCGACCAAGCTGGGGACCACAACCATTTAATTCAAGCTGCTCCAAAAGGGGCAGAAGGTGTCAAAGCAGCAGGGAAACAGCAGAAGAACACAGGAGGAGGGGAGCAATGTACAGAAATGCAGGCGTACATCCGTATCACACTGCTGGCAACATCCACACTCAGCCATGCACCATGGGATGACATAAACACAAATCCAGGGAAACTCAGCCCTGCCAGCAAGGAGCAAACTTGGGAGTGCAGCCGTCCTGCACAGAACAGCATAAGTAGGCCATTAGCGTCCTTGCTGGAAGGCTGTACTGGCATAAGAGCCTTTTCCAATTTATAGAAGAGATGGCTCTGGCTGGTGGCTGCTTAGGTCCCCTCTGAAATCTCCTGTATTAGTTGTCACGCTCATCCAGATCTCATGTTAGCCCTACAAATCTCATAAACATCCAGACCTCACTCCGAAATTCTCTGCAAATCACTGCGGGTACCATTTTAGCAAGAACATGCAGAGAGGGATTTCTTTAAGGCCAACGTAATCTGGCAAAAGTGCTCTTTAACCAGTGCAGCAGCAGATTTGCTCTTCTAGCTCACTCCATGCAGGTCCACATAACTGGTACAGGACAAAGCAGTTTTTATACAGTGCATTTACAGAGTTTGCTAGGAGAGCAATGCCACAATTTTTTTTCAACCATGTTTTAGGAAGAAGAGTAGTATAAACCCGACATCAAGCCCCCAGCTGTCAAGTCTTATGATAAAAGTGCTCCCTTTAACCTTGGAGGTTTGGGGATATCCATCCCATACCCACCCCCGAATTCAAAGAAGTCACTTCTCTGTTGACTTCACCACCTGTGTGATGGTGCTATGGGTCCAGCCCTCCTGCTCGCGCCAAACTTTTGCGTTTTCCTGCAGGGAAGGATGCCTGGCCCTGCTGCCACAGGGTTCCCCCACAGCATGGGACAAAAATAAGGCAAAAATCTCAGACCAAGGGACCTGAGGGTCCCAGCTGCCCAGATGGCAGAAAGAGGGGCTGGCTCATTCTCATTTTTGCTGAAAGGACACTTTTTTTGAGGCTGGGAGACATTTTGCACTCTAAGCAGTTTTCTCCATGATGCAGGAAAATTAATTAACTATCCCCACGGTCACAGACTTAGCACTGGGCAGATTTTGTAACGTAGGGTGTTTCAGGTTTATATTCGATTGTAATCCCTTTTGGATGTTTTTGCCATTATACGTAGGCTCCTGTTTTCATGGTATTACATTTCCACCCTGATCTGAAAAGAGCTCGTGCGCGGCTGCCGCACGCTTGCAAACTGGTGTGAGATTTGCCTCCTGGGAGACCACGGGGGATGATTCCAGGGGCGAGCAGAGCATCCTCCCAACCCGACACCTCTCCTGTAAAAAATGGAGCGGGATGGGGTCTCCCAAAGGAGCAGGCTGTGGGGAGGCGGGTGTGGGGTGAGCAGCCCCAGGGAGTCATTAGCCAAAATCGATTAAGCGGGACCTTGCACCCTTCGTGAGGGTCTCCAACGGCAGCATGAGGGTGCGGGCAGGGCGGGGTGCGAGAAGCCCCCCTCACCTTTGGAAGCTCTCCTCCTGCAGCAAGCTCTTCAGGGTGGGCAGGTCCCCCACGTAGGCCGCGTCGTGCAGCCGGGTGTCCTCGCAGTGCTCGATGGGGTGGTCGCAAAACTGTTCCCGCAGCCACTCCTTCAGGTTACGACCTGCGCTGGAGAGAGCCGGGGGGAGCCGGGCTGAGCCCTGGCCAGAGGCGGCCCGGGCCGGGGGAGCTGTCCCGTCCCCTCCCCTCCCCTCCCGGCACACGGCGGGCCCGAAAGGAGCCCCTGGGACGGCGGCGGGCCC